GTACTTGTCCCCTCTTACTACCTCAATTTAACAATCATTTGGAACATTTTCACAGAATATCACTACTTCAAAAAAGTGCCTTCCATAAGACAATTCTTAAAAGCAAACATCTAGTTTGTCATTACACTTTCCTGTGCAAATAGCTGTGTACTAACATTTTAGAAACACTCTTCCTTTTATTTTATTATTTTAGTTCTTTTCCTAATGCATTGTATACTTTTAATAAATTAAAGCTTGTGTTTGAATATTATTCAAGAATAGCTGTCTATTAAGTCTTGGTATACATGTATAATACATTTTTACTGATGTTAATTGTTATCAGACTCACCAGGGGGCTAGGTACAATATTCAGGTGGGGGGGAGGGGGGTTCGTTTAGAGATAAATTTGTCTTTTTAAGTAAATGTTTAACATATTGTTAGTAAATTTGCCAAGACACTATTTACCTGGTGTAATAGATCAACAATGGGCATGAACTGCATGTAAGTTACCAGCTATAATAAGAGTTACCTTAGACCAACCATCTTTCCTGTGTGTTGCTGATTTCAAGATGTCTTCTGTTTCCCACCACTGTCCATTGAGGTATATAGCAATAGCTGAAACATAAATATGAGTATTTTTATACACAATTAATATATACAGATTTGAATCCAAAACAGCCCAGGGAATTGTCCTAATATTCATGCACCAAACTTTATTGAATTCTCATCAGAAAAATGTTCTAACAAGGTCCTATAATGTCTAATGTATATACCAAGTTTGAACAAAATCCATCTGTAAACAGCCGAGAAATGCTTGATTTTTAGCACAAAAATGGCCGCCATTCGGCCATCTTCAATCAGATCGTAAAACAAAATGATGTGCATCAAGGTCCTATAATGTCTAATGTATATACCAAGTTTGAACAAAATCCATCTGTAAACAGCCGAGAAATGCTTGATTTTGATGATTTTTAGCACAAAAATGGTTGCCATCTTGAATCAGATCGTGAAACAAATTGACGTGCATATGTACATTGTATAATATCATGTATGATGTATGTGTGAAGTTTGATTGTGATTGGTCCAGGCATTTCTAAGATACAGGTCCGGACGCACACACATACACACGGACACACGTCTGAACGGGGACTAAAAAGAAGATGCAATTTAATAATTCATGTACAATTTTAGAATGACACGATTAAAGCGGGGGAGTCGTCACCTGCACATGCATCAAATGGCCATAGCGTGTTTACAAACAAGCATCTACCCATGAGCCTTTGCGGTTTAGCTTGCGTTGTTATTGGGACTCAATTCCCACGCATGTTCAGGTGACAACCCTCCCACTTAGTATTGATATTGTATCAATCTATTGTACCGGTAGTTATGACAACAAATACTACTTTGTCATTCTACAGGTAAATTAAGTTTTCAGGGGACTGAGAAAATCACACACTGACCACCCAAGGTATTGTAAAATATTTACCCTATCATTAAGAATTATTCATTGTCGGAATTACAGACTGATCAAATATTTGAACTCACTTCTGTTCTTTATTTCTTTACAATTCCAACATTTTAAGAGCAGTGTACCATGTGAGTCTTCACCAAATACATCAGTGAAGATTAAACTACGTAAAACATTATAAGACGATAATTGGATCTAAAGAATGAAACATAACGTATACCGTAGTAAACATCATCTAACAATAAAATTTATCAGTTTTGATAATGCCTAATAATTTGTCATGTTAACAAATGGATTCATAATATGTACCTGAGTATTACAGTATTGACACTGCCTAGTCTCTACATCATCCTTGTCAACTGAACATATAGAATCATAATATTCATTCCGTCTCCCATTACTGTCATTATCTCTGTCAGTTAGTAAAAGATCAACTGGGTACAATACTACAAAACACAAAAATAGAAAATAGAATAACAATTGAATGTATTACAAGCATTTGCATTCTGCAATGCACAATCCCAATGATAAAGACCATAAGCAAATAGAATTCTTGATTTATAGTCACCTCAACCGCTATCCAGTTCAACCCTGGACACTTGCCCCCTAGTCACGTTGACACCAGAGTTATGCACTGTGCATCACTTGGACTCTCTTATGGCATAGTAGTATAATAAAGTTATTATTATTCATCTACTGGTGATGCTGAATAACGTAAATAAATTTGTTTACCTTTTGCAGTTTTGTTTTCCAAACTACTAGTTTTTTCTTCATCTTTGATACCTGACAATTTTCTCTTGGGTTGATCAAGTTTCAGACATTCACCCATACTTGTAGTTAAGCACAGTCCCTTTGATGCGAGTTGTGGTTATCAGGACTTATGGGAAGGCTAAAGGAAATAGAACATCTGATTTAAGAGATGAGTCATTACATTAAAAAGTAGGGAAGGTGGAAAGGAGGTATCAAGAGGGGTGGGACATAAAATACAGTTCAATCATAACCCCTAGCTACATGGTTCAACCATAAACAAAATGAACATGTTCTCTTATTTACTTTCTAGAAGTTGAACCTATTTAATTAGTTGCCAATAATCATCACAGGGAAGCACCTGAAGTAGTTTATACTGAACCCCCTGCTTTTTGTACCTTGTCTAACAACTATGGCAAGCCAAGTGTTGCAATATTATTAAAAATAAATTTGTTTTTTTAAATCTATATTTTATACCATAAAATGCGATTTACATTTATGTTTGTAAATTCCTTATTTCATTTCATAAAACATGATTTACATTTGTAAAATCCATATTTCATTCCATAAAACGCAATTTATGTTTGTAAATTCTATTTTACATAAAATTTTCATAAAATATTATTTCGTTTTCTAAAATTCGTATTTGATTTCATCAAATTTCTGTTCGAAGAATTCCTATTCGGACGCCATTTTGTTTTTGTACAATTAATATTTCATTTGGTAAACGCATTTATATGTTCAACAAGCAGCCTCTCGGCTGAGATAGCTCCGCTGTTAGCAAGGCACATTTCAATTAAAGAACTGAAGATATCATTAGAAAATGAACAATATGTATAGTATGTATAGCAATCGGACTTGCTGTTTTCAACAAAAAGTCAAAAATATCACTTTTTACCAAAATGACATAAATATTCATCAAAATTAGATAATTAGATAATCCCCCGGCTGTCAAATATTGTCTGTCTGGAGGATCAGGAGGAATTGCTTCTCTGCCCGGTCTGAGCGCTGAGTTGCTACGAGAACCGTACCAGGTTATCCAGACGAGGAACCGGACACATGTTTTTGTGTTACGGCCCTGGCAAACAGGATAAACCGGCTTCCCCGACTTCCATCTCCAGATGGATTACTGCAACTGTCCTGGAGGTCTATAATACGCTATCTTCAACACAGTCCTTGCAGAGACACCAAGTACGAGCGCATGAGGTTCGTGCGATTGCTAACTCACTAGCGCCGGCGTCAGGCGCCCCCCTCGAACACATCCTGAAGGCAGGCTTCTAGAGAATGCAGAACATCTTCATCAACTACTACCTAAGAGACACCCAATCTATTGAGCAGGGTCTCTTCAGGTTAGGCCCCGTCATAGCGGGACAGGCTTTGGTTACTGACCCAGCCCGAACGACCGCAGGGGCCCATGCGCATAGGAGATAAGTCAGTCTCGGCATTCTTGCGGGCAGATTGTCTGTTCCACTAGCACTTCCTGGAAGCTCCCAGGTTTCGCTTCTTTCGACCTACTCCCTCATGCGAACTGTTTTGGTCCTATTTCAAGCTTATCATTCGGCTTGGGTCTAGCTTTCTCAGGCGCACCGAACCCTGTCACCACAGCAGCATTGGCTTCTTGCTTCGGGGACAGCACAGGCAAGGTGAGACACCACCCTTCTTGGGTCTTAACTTAGGTTTTTGACTCCCGTGTGCGAAGCACAAAAGGGAGTCTTTGCAGTTACCCTGTCTGTATGTCTGTATGTCTGTATGTCTGTATGTCTGTATGTCTGTATGTCTGTATGTATGTATGTATGTATGTATGTATGTTGGTAGTGTGTCGTCCGGTTGGGACAACAAGTCCGGTATGTCCGGCAGTACTACCAGTGTTTCGACTATCATTTCCAGCAGGAGCGGAAACCAGGCCTTGGTCGGCCAATTGGGCACCACCAGAGTTAGTATGCAGGTGGGCTCCTGTCGAAGTTTCTCCAGTACCTGGTGAATTAGCGGGAAAGGAGGAAAGGCGTACGCATCCATGTGGAACCAGGGGATCGATAAGGCGTCCACGGCCCAGGCTCCTGGTGTCGGCAGGAGTGTTACGTATGTCGGGAGCTTGGCGTTCCGGGGTGTGGCGAACAGGTCTATCTTTGGACCGTCCCACAGCAGAAACAGCCTGGAGGCAACCCACTGGGGGATCTGCCACTCTGTGTTCTGAAGACTGAGGCACCTCGAAAGGGCGTCTGCCAGACCGTTTCTCACCCCTGGAAGGTGGTGTGCGGTTAGCTCCACATTGTATTCCAGGCACCAAAGGAGAATTTGCTCTGCTAGGACTGACAACGATGGGGAACCGTCCCCCCTCCTTGTTGATGTAGGAGACCACCGCTGTGTTGTCTGTGCGGAGCAGGACTCAAACTTCAGGTCGAAAGCGTGAAAGTGCCAGGTGCACTGCTTTCAGCTCGAGCCAGTTGATATGGTGGTCCCGTACCCACTGCGAGGGCCATATTCCATGGGCTTGTTTGTCCAATAGATGCGCTCTCCA